GGGCTCGCACCGTTTCTGGCATTATTTATTTTTTGACCTACACCGCATCCCGGTCGAGGTCAAGCTTCTTGGCGCGGAGAACACCCTGGATGTAAAGTGACACACAGGTCCAATTGTCCTCACCCTCCATCATCATCGGTATGACCATGTCCACCGACAGCAGTCCTACGAACTGTTGAGCCTCTAGGCGGGGCCTTTCCCAATGCTGGCAGTGGAAGAAAGTGTGTTCCACGTCATCGGGAATGCCTGGGCAGTATATGCAATCGGGTGACACGGCTTTGCCCATCCTGAACAAGTACGACCGGAAAAAGCCGTGACCCGTCAGAAATTGGGTGAGGTAGAAGTTCACCTCTCCGCACCGCCGATTAACCCAAGGTTGGACCTGTTGTATCAGTCGCCTGGTCCAGAGCCCCCTTGTCTCCTGTTCCCAGCTCTCCTGCCACAGCTGGAAGGTCCGGGTGCGTTCCTCAATACTTGCCTGGTCCTCCCCACGGCGCTGATAAATTGCCTTCCTCTCCGCCGCCAAAAGTTTGACGGGGATGACTCCAGCAACCACCAGGACGGCGGGTTCGGACACTGTTCGATAGGCAGATGCTACCCTTAGTGCTGCCTGACGCTGCACTCGGGCGAGCCGCATCCTATATACCTCCTTATTGAGAGCGTCTGCCCAGACCTCCGCACCGTACAGGAGCACTGACTGGACCGCAGACATCAACAGCCTTCTGCGGCTGGACCGTGGACCTCCGACATTGGCCATTAACCGACTAAGGGAAGAAACCATTTTAGCGGCCTTGTCCGCCGTACGGGTGATCTGGTCTCGCCAGCTGAGCTTGCTGTCCACCATGACCCCAAGGTACTTTGCGGCACGAGTGGTTTGGACTTCAACGTTCCCCACCATCAAAGGCACGATGGTGTCAATCCTCTTTTTAGTCAGAATGACAATCTCAGTTTTGCTCAGAGCGAGCGAGAGACCATGTTCTGCCATCCATGCGTTAATGGTTCGCATGACTCGATTTAGTTTCAGCTGGGCAAGCTCAATGCTACGTGCAGCTATTAAAGCCGCAACGTCATCTGCATACCCAACTAGGACGGTTTCCTCAGGCATCTCGGATCTCAAGAGGCTGTCGTAGGCGACGTTCCAGAGGTCCGGGCCCAGTATGGATCCTTGAGCAGCACCAGAAGTTACATCCATCGTCCTGGAGCCTTCTGTAGTGTCGTAAATGATGAGGCGGTACCGGAGGTAGTCCTCTATCATGCGCATGAGGTATGCCGGGACGTGGAAAGTGTTCTCCAGTGCGTCGAGCATATCGCACCACCTCGCGGAATTAAATGCGTTTCGCACATCAAGTGTTACAAGCAGCACAACCCGACGAGAATAGTTGTTAAACTCCTCAGCTCTCATTACGGCTCGCTTTACCTCCTCAATAGCGTCAACCGTTGACCGTCCCTTCCTGAAACCGTACTGACGAGGGGATAGATTCCCTGCAGCAACCACGGCTGAATTCAGTCGGGAACGGATCAACTTTTCCAAGACTTTCCCAGCAGTGTCCAACATACAGAGAGGTCTGTAAGAGGAGGGTAGGTCTGGGTTTCCTTTTCCCTTCCCCACGAGCACAAGCCTAGCTGTTTTCCAGCAGAAGGGAAACTTCCCCTCGGCCAGACAGGCATTGTACGTGCTCAAAAGGATTTGTGGGTTTATTGAAAAGACTTTCTTCAGGGCCTCACCAGGTACCCCATCCGGTCCAGGAGCCTTGTTGTTCTTCAGGGACAGAACGGCCGCCTCCAACTCCTCGAGACTGAAAAGCGGTACGTCGTCCACCCTTCCGAACTCCCGCAATGGACGCAGTGTGTGAGTCGGGAAAAGGGACTTTACGATCCTCTCCATAGAGGCCCCGTCCATAACGGAAGGTGGAGAGCGGGTGCCAAGCTTCTTGGTTACTATCTTGTAACCAAGGCCCCACGGATCGGAATCGACATCGTCCCTTAATTTCTCCCAGCAACTGCGTTTGCTCCGGTTAATGGCCCGGCGAAGAGACTTCCTTGCCACCTTGTAAGCGTCAGACTTAAGACGTCTATCTTCAGGTTCTCTAGCCCTGGTAGCAAGACGTCTGGCTCTCAATGCTGCCCGTCGTAGTTCTGCGATCTCGGTTGTCCACCAGTACACAGGTCGCTTATCGCACCGGGATATCCTGCGAGGCATTGACTCTTCGCAGGCCGAGACTATCAGCCTCATCAATGATGTAACTGATGTCTCTGCGTGAGCCACGCCGGATGCAGCAGGTACCACTGGCTCTCCCCGTAGTATGACTTCGGTGAATTTGGCCACGTCCAGCTTTTTGGTGTTCCACCGAACGGGCACCTGCCGAGACACGGTAGCTTGTCTCTGATGACTATCCATGACATCAAAAATGATGTACTGGTGGTCACTGGCCGTATAATCCTCTAGGACTCTCCAGGCTCGTATCCTCGGCAAGAGGGACTCAGATGCAAGCGTGATGTCTGGGATCGTTCCCCTCATTCCGGGACGCTGGAAAGTTGGCGTGTTGCCCTCGTTTATGACAACAAGTCCAGCCCTGGCAGCAAAGTCCAGGATGTACTTCCCCCGGGAATTAGTGAGAGTCATTCCCCACTCGACAGCCCTAGCATTGAAATCCCCCGCCACGACAACGTGCCCGGCGGTATCGCGCACGCTCTCTTCCAGGCGGTCTATCTTTCCACGAAAGTCACGGATAGCCTCGTTGGGGGTGAGGTATACACTAAAGTAAGTGACATCCCCGCACCGGACCCAAACGAATCCTCGGCCCTTCGCGTGACTCCTTACCTGCACTTTAGCTGTATTACGAACCCAGAACGCAGCAGTACCAAGTGTATCGGGAAACCAAAGAGATGGGTCCCTGTCCCGGTACTGATACTGTTCGCTGACCAAGAGCGCGTCAACACCGTGTTCGAGGGCAAGCTGACTGAGAAGCGCGTCAGCCGTCCTGGATCGATCTACATTGCACTGGAGGATCCTTATCTTCGTGGTTGGGCTTTCGCTTGTTGTAGTGCGCCTTTAAATGCACTGCACTGCCCAGACCCAGCTATATGTTTAGCGTTTTTATCATTGAGGCCTTTCTCCTTACAGAGGAAACAGGTCTCAACTTTACAGTCCCTACGAGTGTGACCCACCTCCCCGCATCGAAGGCAGTTCTTGCCTCGGTCGGGCCCTTCGCAGTTTCGGGAGGAATGGCCGAAATCAAGGCATTTAAAACACCTCGTTACTTCCACCCTCCGTCTCAACCTGCAATTAACCCATCCAACCCTCAAATGCTGGAGTGCCAAAACCTTACTGGCGTTTGCGTCTGCCATTTCGGCGACCGCCATCCGCTGTTGACTCCGGTTTGGTTTCGTGAGCCACACCCTCAGACTAGCCGTTTGTCCGGCAAGCTCGGGGACAGCTTTTTTTAGGGCATCAATGACGTCATCCTCCGTTGACACGCAATCCATATCCCGAACCTCGACGGACGTCTTGGGTTCGAGAGCACGAACGGTGCCCTGACCTTCCACAGCTGCCTTTAGTTCGGCAGCAAAGGCGGCTTTATCTTTAGACTTACCCAGTTCGAGGAGGACGTCCCCGTCCCGGGTTTGTCTAATCGACCGTACAACCGTGTCGGTTTGCTCTGGCTTAGCCTTGGCCTTGATAACACCCAAGACTTCGGCGAATGATCTTCCCTCCAAAGGCTTGACCAAAATTGCCTCAGTCCTGGGCTTTTTGGGCCGCGACTTTTTAGCGAGTGCCGAGCCAGGCACAGCTTGGGCCACGCCGGTCGATTGCGCCCTCACTGCCACATATGTCTTGGAGCCGACTTCCGCGTGCCTCAATTTCCTCTTCTCCTTTTTCGTAAGGCGCTTTTCCCACACAGTCCCAGATGGTGTTTCTACGACTGACCCCTTTCGGGAGCTACCCTCAATGGGTGTCGCAGGTTGCTGTGGCTGTTGAGGTTTCGCTGGAGCGGCAACTACGTCAGAGAAGGACCTAGAAGTCTGGGTCGCCTTGACCTTAACTTTAGGCTTTGCTGTCTGAACAACCTCTTCTCTTTTTGGAGGGCTTTCTGATGTAGGCCTCCTGCGTTTCTTCGACCAAACGCAGTGCGGTAGCTTCAATACACAACAATAACAATAAAGTCTTCTAATTGAGGGGGAAACGATAATTGAACCAGACAAAAGGATTCTCGAGCCGACTTTCCTGTCTGGTTTTTCAAAACATTTCACTGTCTACAGCAACTCCTGTTTGCGGGAGGGCAACGCACGTAAAGTGGTATATTTGACAATTACGTACTAAAAGTAATGAATCTGCATTCCGTGCTTTCCGAAAGTCTGGGGCTTTTTGCGTTTGTGAGACATTTCAACTATTCCGTACGTTCCATGAGCGGTGTCTGGGCCTAAAGGTGAACTCATCGTGTTTTTGGACGTTTGGGGACAGTGGAATTTTTATGAGGGTATTGTTTTTTTCTGCTTTTGATGGTCTTTGATGATTTTAAGGTCTTGGATGATCTCAGGTAGATGATATTTTCTTTTAATTTTAAAAATACAACTTTCGAAATATATTTATAGCTCACTGAATTGTACCAGTGAAAACGTGTAAAATGGTTAACGACTACGATGAAATACTAATTTTATAATTACCTAACTCCAGCAGGCAAATGTCTATCTATCAATCGATTTGACCCGAATTATGTGAACATAGGACAAACACGTATATACATTTAAGATAGTACACAATCATTTTTATTAGATACACGAAAATCAACAGATCAAAAGTAATAAAAATTACTGTTTATTATTTAATTCATACTGAAATAATATACAAAACGTGCAACATAATATATAACTATTTTACGTTATGATCGTTTTCGACTTGGACTAAATTCCATCACTATAATTAACTCGTTAATTTGGCAAGTAGAAATGAATGCATTATGGTTCCTTCATCGTACACAATCCAAAACTAGACCTTATTTTCATGTGCAAATTTGTTTATTTGTAAAGTTACGATACAATTTTGATTACCATGTTAATATTTATTACCATCAGTAGTAATTGTAAACTCAGTTAAGGAAATTTGTATGTTAAGATGGTAAACAATACCAACCAAATAAACAACAAAATGAGAATTTTTTCCAATTATATTTTCTTCACCGTTAACAGTACGAATTGTAGTTGTCAGTTAAAACAACACCGACAGATTCTAGTTTCTTTTTGGCATCAGCGACAAGTTCTTTGTTGTACTTCGGGCCATTAGGAACCTTGATTGCCCCCTCAGGTTTTCCAACAGTAGCTGAAACAATTGGATTTTATTCTACAAACTACAAACACAGTTAACAACACAATAGTATTTTCTGTGTAATTAAATTGTGGGTTTTTTTTATTTTCTCCAGTGTTGATTCGTACACAATTTAAAATTGGTGAAGGTCTAAAAATTATTCGGAATTTTGAAGAATCTATTTCTGTAAAATTATCAGAAACTTAATTACACCCTTTGCCTATTCTTGTAAATATTGTATTGCATACTGTCATTTTGATGAAATCTTTTGTTTGACTGGGAGAAAATTATAAACCACGTTTATTAGAGTTCAGTTAGTTATTCATTCATTGTCTAACCCTAAAATGCCAATCGTTGGTGCATAGTTTTATAAGTTTAGTGTATTGTAAACTTTGCGTACGATTAAAAGTATTTGTCTTTGAAAACAAAAAGGAAATTCTTCCTGAGCTTACTTTGTGATGCCATTAGATTACTCTGAAGATACAAATATTGGTGCTAAAGTAGTGTTAAGGCCCAATCAATATTCTATGATCTATCAATGGTATATAATCAACCCCTCAACCCTAAAACAGGTATATACAAACACAAACACACACAAGAATCAATTGAACATATGATGACAAGAACAAAAACAAGTACCTGAAAAATACAGAAAATACCTGAAAAACAAGTACAAGAGTTAATTATAGAATATGAAGAACTGAAATGAAGTTAGTGTTTAAGCATTGACTATATAACAATAGTTTAAATTATTCTCAGTTAATAATTTCAAACATTTACATTTAACAAAACTTTATTTAAATCAACTTATCAAAACCAAGTAGTCTATAAGCTATTAACATATGATTTGTAATTTCTTTCAAACTCTCACCATCATCTCCATTTCCACATTTGTACCAAGCAGCTACGCCGTCTTGGCTGAATACGTGATACCTCTTGATGCCAGTGCCTAAAAATAAAATTCCTTTTTAACCTTGTGAACTAGTTTAACTTTCTCTACAGTTAATAAAAAACAATTTGAAGATAGAATCTTTTGTCATTTATGTTTTAAATACATTACATCAATTAGTTATTCCGTATTTTCTCACTCTACAAAAACGAAATCTCGTAAAAGTATGTAAAAATGTATATCGTTACCCTCTTCCATGACTATTCCACCTGATTCATAATTCTTTTCGGTTCTTTCCGAGGCCTCTTTGCTGAAAACAGAAGTAAACACTGATTTGGATATTGTGATTATTTTCCGTTTAACGTATAGTCTGGGCTATTGTGATTAATTTTGAAAGTACTATCTTTGTTATTGAGGATTGGGAAAATATTTTTGTAGGTTTTTGAAAGTATTTATGAAAAGTATATAAACTTTTCCAGGCATCATTAAGAATGGCTGGTTTAAAACAGCTGAGATATCCGAACATAGATTCACATTAAATGGGTTTTTTTTTTTAGGGAGAGGTGGGAAAATGCATTTATGCGCACAGGTTGCTAGCCTGTAGTGTGGGACTCCAACGGGCTTAAGGCCCAGAGACTACCCACTAAAAACCTCCTCTACTCTTCGGACACTAGCCTGGGAACACTTGTCGCACTTCATCAGAACTAGGCCGAGTTTGCCTACGCCCGAGAGGCTTACGCCGTGTCTAGCCGTTTATTTCTTATCAAATCTAGACTATGTTCCGATCTAGATCATTCTTTTTAGCTTGAAGGACATTCCGGACAAAGTGCGACCAGCAGTCCCAGTTGTCCTCACCCTTCAGCAAGGTCTCACAGATCGATTCAATCGACAGCACCCCAAGATGTTGAATGGCCTCCTGGCGAAGCATATCCCATTGTGGACAGCGCAAAAAAGTGTGTTCCGCGTCGTCGGGAATGCATGGGCAGTAAATGCAGTCAGGTGAATTCGTTTTGGCCATCAAGTGCAGGTACGACTGAAAATAGCCGTGACCTGACAAGAACTGCGTGAGGTAAATGGGTTGGTACTAATAAAATTACAAATACCTTCATACAAAAATGATTCTCCTTTGCCACAACATCACTTTTTCAATAATTCTTAATATTATATCCTGAATATTTCTTGTTTTTATTTACAAGAACGATAACAACAATTTTACGTAACTACTTGAAGTGAGTTTTAAGTGGCGGGTAGAGTATTGAGTACCACTTCTTTGATTCCTAAATTGATTTTTTTAATACGTCAAAAATAATTACTTTTTAAATGGGTTCTAATGTTGGTTTTATTTTGTACATACACGACATATTTAGGAGATCTACTCATTCCAGTTTGTTCCTAATTTGACTCCAAGGGATGTCATGTTTTAAAACTTAACTAATTTTCGTAAAATTACTTACCCCTTGACAGTTGTCAGTTTTACAGTTTTACCATCTTTAGCGAAAAGTGTGTATGCACAAGTGGTACCTTCAGGATAGTAGCCCGCACTGGTTAGTATAATGTTTTGTTTTCCTGCTGCTACAGCCTAAAAAGGGGACAATAAAAATGTATTTAAATGTTGAAATTATGATTTTTTTTAAACGTGCTTTATTCAAAAATAACTCTGTGGTCTATATTTATTAGTTTAAATTAAACTTATGGTTAAAACTAACCGTCATAAATTCCAAAGTACCCATGAACTTTTGAGAAAACTACAAGTCACACCCCCATTAACCATATAGGCCTAGGTACTTAAAATATTCGTCATAACTAGAAACCTTGCACCAAACTATCCATTATTTCATAAATTGCCTTTTAAGCAAGGTCGTAATTTCTTTCTAAAGGGAACTTTCCATATACCTAATGTTAAAAATACCTCAGCTGTACTTATTTGTTTGTATTACACTGTATTCTGTTTTGTTTATTTCAGCTTAACTTAACCAATCAATAGTTTTATTAATACGTATGAAGTCAAATGGGGTGTAGCTCATGGGTAACAGCTAGTTAATTCTAATACCAAATAAAGTAAATTTATTTTGTTTATGAAATTGTAGTAAAAATCAGATTTTAAGCTGATAATAAGTAAAAATCGGTTATAAAATAAATGAAAATCGTATCTAATAATATTGTTTTGCAATTCATTAAAGAAAAAGGCATTAAATTACATATTGGAAATGAAAGGTGACAACTCATGCTTGTAAAACTAGTCAGGAAGAAACAAGTTTAATAGAAAACAAAAAATAAAAACAAAATACAAAACAGGACGATTCCTATACATGGATTGAGTTAAATGCAGATTTTTTCTGTGTCCCATACTGCCAGGCTCGTTTCATATATTTAACCAAAACATACAAATTCCTCCAGTTTAAGTAAATAGTAGGTTATTTAACTAAATTGAATCCTTACTTTATCGAATTATAAATTTAATTGTAAACATATAAATGGTACAAGCTTTTATAATTGCAACAACTCTTATTGAAGCGTAACTATAATATTATGCCTGTTAAATGTCACGAAGGTAAAGTCTCAGTCACAAAACCCTACGTTGCTTATTCACCTGTTTGATCAAATCGGTTGGTATTCCTTCATCCGCCCAAAGTTGGTTTATCTTCGCTATGACCTCTAGGCTACATTTGCGCACACCCACAACATGTTCTACATGAGCCAGTCCAAAGACGATAGTGAGTACGAGATACAACTTCATTTTACTGAAAGCAAAATCAAGCATTAACTAAACCAAATAAATCCATTAAAAACTTTGGATGTTACAAATTGTTCTAAAATAAGCAGAATATATCCTCACAGTTCCCTTACATGACGCTTTCACTACATTTAGGCTGATTATTGAATTAAAGTAATTTAAGTAATTGAAATAATTAAAGTAATTGAGAGATATGATTAATAAAACTACGTATGTTAAACGTGTTTTAAGTTATTTAAACTACTTTCCGTGATCTTTAGTTGAAATACATGAGTATTCATCGACCCACTGTGCATAATATTAATATGTATTACAAATAAACAAAAGTACACGCACAAAATGTTATAAATAGGTTGCCTATGTTTGGTTAAAAACATCACTCTATGCCCTATAAAGACTACTACCATTGAGTATAAAATACTCAATGCTACTACTAACCTTACCGTTGTAAGAAAGGCGAATGGTTAATGCAAGAGGTGTAGAAGGGTACACATGTTCACCTTCATTATTCCAAGTAGAAGACATGTGTTTCTAAATGAATCGGCAAACAAAAACACCAACCATGTATGTAGCTATGGGTCGGAAAAATTATGCTGTGATGTTTACAACAATACAATAGGTTTAAGCCAAACACATTCAAGTGTTAAATTTCTTTGGGTACACAAAATAAAATAATAAAAAATAGTTGCTCTCTCCAACAATAAAGCATATTATTACAATATTAAAGTTAGACTGAGCATTTTTTAATTAATTCTACTCAGACATTCCATCCTCATTTTAAATTTGTAGCCAGATTTTTTATCAAAATCGTCGTAGTTGACGTGAGCTACCGACAGATTGGGGTGATCAATTACTAATTTCTGAGGAATACATTTACTTTTTTACGAAGTCAAACTGGTTGAGTTACTTATTGTGAGCCATAGCAATTTTTGCGGCCCATAAAGTTGATCAGCAACACAAAATAAGGAAGAAAATACAATTTTAGACACTAGTGCATTCTGTGTCTGGCTCACATCACTACGTTCTTTTTAATACAAAATTGGCTATAGTCGGTCCATATAATGGGATGTCTATTTCAGTTACCAATAGTCAATGGTTCTACCTTCATGCGATTTTCTTGTTTGTACATTTTCAAACTAGCCACTAGACTTGCTCGCTCCCACATAGCCCTAGGAACAAAACATATTATTATTTTATGAAAAAAGAGAATAGCCCAGGCTTTATGAATACAACTTCAAAATCAAACCAAAAGTCTTTGGTATCCATATACATATAAAGCCCAAAGTACCCATGAACTTTTGAGAAAACTACAAGTTACATCCCCCTTAGCCATATACTTAAAATGTTCGTCATGACGAGAAACCTTGAGCAAAACTATCCATTATTTCATAAATTGTCCTACAAGGTCGTAATTGCTTTCCAAAGGGAACTTTCCATACAACTTCAGAATCAAACCAAAAGTCAATGGTATTTATTTATAGTATTTAATTGGCATGCAATAACCAGTCAGTATATCCTAAACTGAGAACCGTTCAGTACATCCCAGCATAATACTTTATTCTATAGCCATTGTTAAACATACCCTACCATTTTCTTATCACATCCTTGACATCGAAACTGTTATTGAAATCAACACGGGATCGTAACACAACACTACACGTAGGGCAATAAATAACAGGTAGTAACGATTAGATGAAGATGGTAATTGTAACAGCAGTGTAGGGTAAGATAAGGCAGAGTGCAAGGGTAACCTGATCCTCCCTAGGGCCTAGGGATCACGTACCCAGCCTCCCTTAGCTCCCTTAGAGCTCCACTAGGCTCGTGTGTTACTTGAGTTATCAACTCGGCGAATATACACTGTGATATCAAGTTAGATTGTTTATATTATATAGGCTTGCTTCCGATTTCGGCTAGTGATTATATCTCTTAATATAGATTTTTGATGTGGTTGACGAGTAGAATTAAAATTGAAAAAAATTAGAAATTTTGATTAAAAGGCATCGGTTTTTCATCGCACGATATGTGAAAATATTGTATTTAAGAAACTGATGGAGGTCTTTTTTTGTAAACCTAAACTGTACGTCAATGAGTTATTTTAGTAAAGTAAAATTTGCTTACGGTTCAAAGTACGAGAAACTAAATACAGTAGATAAGTAAAATAACCAAGATTTAATCTTCACAAAAAAATCTCAAATTTTAATCTTAAATTTAACCCAGAGTTTTGTTTTGAAGTTTTATTTTTATCACAATGTAAAATCATATTTTTTATACGTGTTAGGGATATGTTTTAGTGACTATACTTATACTGTAGTCTACTGTTACTAACCAAATAAAATGTCATGAAAACCAATCATAAGATTCAGAAGCTAACCGTATAGGTTATTCTCAGATCTAAAAATAAGACAGTTAAGTAAAAGTATTGATGGATACTTAACATGCTGTTAGCCCGTATACAATAACTTTTGAAAAATCTTGATTCAGAATTGTTATTCCAGACAAATTACAGTTTCTATGTTTTTAAGTTTGTTAACTGTTGAGTCTAAATGTAAAGACCATCAAAATAAATCTGTAAAAAATTATCAATGTAAAGTAGATATTTTTCAGATCCTGGCATCCAATGCCACCTCAACAACAACAACCCTCCAAAACCTGTGACATTATAAATTACACTAAAACCCTCAAATTTATAAAATGTTAACGTAGTCATGAAATTAACGTAATGGTGTAAAGGTAAGAAATATTCGTTAACAATTTCAATCATGAAAATAAATTCAATAACTTTTTTACTAATAAATTAGCCAACAAACTAAAGCATGTTTGTCATTCTAAGCAGTTTAAACGCAAATAGTACACCTATAGTTTGTATGACTCAGTAGCAAACATCAATCATCTCCATTGGTTGTTTTCGTTCGTTCACAATTTACATAAAGTCACATATGTTTCCAACACGCAGGAATCAGCATAAATTGTGGATATGAATACAGACTAACGAGTGGCACCAGTCTATAGAATCAAAATGGTCACCAGATGCGCCGCTAGTGACCTCCATTGAAACTACCCTTTAAAACAGTGTAGGGTTACAAGGATGAAGCGTGTATTTAACATATTTATTCATAGATTTGTCATCTTGTGAGGATTAACGTCCGCACTAGTGAGCACTACGACTATACGCAGTAAAATCATAAAATCATAATCCTTATTGGTCATTAAATAACATAGTTACAATAGACCTCGTTATCAATAAAAAGGTGCCAAAAAGGGCCATAGATTCTAGATGTAGTATAACATGGTCTATAACATGGAATCTTCACTAAATATAACAAAGACAACAAGAAAATAAATATTTAAACATCATTTGAAAAACACAGAACTATCAAAAATACCTAAACAAAGGGTTTGAAAGTATTATAATAAGTACCATCCTGATTAGACCAATTCGTAAATTACAAGGAAAAAATGGGGCTCAGATTCCACTATATACTGTAGGTCTTTTAGTTGTCATTGGCTGTATGGGCTATTAATTAACAGTCAAAGATCGCGCCACTCATCCTACACTCATCTTCATTCATACTTAGCTTAAAATACCTACCTTTGGTCACCATTTCAATAAAATGTGAACATTTTTAAGTAAACTATTAAAATATCTTTATTGGTTTGTAATGACAATTTAAAAGGGTTGTTTCTGGTTTATGTAAAGGCAGGGGACGTTTTGATGAAAGAAAACTCATAAAAAGGCTTCAAGTTTACAATTGAATTAAAAGTCTACTTGAAGTGTTTAAAGACAGCAGGTTGAAATTCTAGGTCAAAGATATTTAATTAAAGCAATTTCCGTTTCTAATGAAATGTATTTATTATTTAGTTTTTACAGAAAAAATCCTTATTCTTGATTATCTAGGTAGTTTGTGTGGTTAGTATGGTCAAACTTATGGTTTTACGTGTTTAGTTGATTTTACAACTTAAACGGTTAAATGGTGGTTAATATGTGGTTATAATTAATATGTGGTGGTATATTTGGTTTCAAATATTAAAATTATGAAAACATCATTAAACGTTTAAAACGCCTGAAAACGACAGTAGCAATGGATGTGCAGTAAGGTAAAGAAAACGGCATCACATTGGCTGCAGGAGCTTACAATAAATTCATAATACAGATGGAGAACTTAATATCCATTCGTACTTTTATTAAATTTATCCGAATTAATCTTATCTTTCTAGACACTATTAGTAATCGCAACAATATGTTTTAATCCAATGCATTTTGGTTTAAAGTAAAAAAAACCTTTTTATTTTCTTAACAATTAATTGAATACTATATATGTGCTTATTAATTGTTAATTACAAATGCCTTCACAGTCGATGTACCTTTTTGGCATGGACGACCAATCTAGAGAAACTAATCTTATTCAACATACAAAAGTTAATTTTACGACATGGTGGTCCAATAAATACATTTTCTACTTTAATAAATTGTAGGTTTTTTTTGCTTGCTTTGTTATCGTATCTCGGAGTAAAATATGTTCTTCTGCATTCAATCAAATAAACAAACTCACTTAAAATCATGGATAGAATAATTAACACAATATTTACCAATACATAATTTAGTATAGGTGCTTACTTTTAATTGATTAATTTATTAAAATATTTATTAACATCAGCGATTAATATTATGAAATAGTAGGTAACCGGTTTTTAGGCTCAATTTTTGTTTCAGTTATAAAAAAGTTGTGTATCTTCCAAATCGACCCGAGTAAGACTTTTTTACCTTAATTTATTTTATATAATTCGATTTTAAAACTGCGATACTGTCCATAAACTCTCCTTGTATAAACTTTAAAGTACATCACTAAGCACGCTGCACGTTGTAGTGCAAGGGGTTTTTTTCCTAGGACTCTTGGCACGAGCCCGGGAATGTTTTGCACATTACTTCAGTCTAGACCTAGGGGTTGCGGCATTATCACTTAGATAAAATCCATAGGTGATTTGGCGGGATTTGAACCCGGGACCCCAGGGACCGAAATCCCGCGCTCTAACCACTGTAGCACAAGGGTAGTTCCAAGTAATATTCTAATGAAGATTGTCAAGCAGACAGACCGCAGAACACTCCACTAATTGGCAATATTTAATTTTTAAGTGGTCCGCCTGTCACTCAATGTCAGTGAGTGCATGATTGAGTGGTCAGTGATTCATTGATTCACTGACTGCCCCAGCGGTACGTCCGTTATTGCATTGTACTTGAAGGGTTGTTCATCAAATACAAACCTTGCCCTCCGTGGGTTATAGAGGGTTAGGGTTGTTTTTGGACTGCTGCACTCTGGAGTGCCCACGCGCCCTTTAAGATTGCCCTTTTGGAGATTGGGTCTCAATAAATGTTTACTCTGTAATTGGTTGCGAGAAATGTATTTGTTAGTACGATTTTGGATTTTAATCCAATGAAATTTGTAAGGGGTTTTAAAATATATATTTTTTTCAATCATATGATTTTGTAG